TGGCGGTTCAAACTCTCCAGCCACTCCTCGGAAGGAAGATGGGGCCAATCTACTTCCGTAGAGAGACCACCTCAGAAACCCAAGGAGGGGTCGCTATGACTCAACGGCACATAACAACAACGTTACACTTTGAAAGTTTCAGTTGAAAGTGGTTATGCCACTGGTGAAGATTTTAGATATGAGAAGGTTAAGAATAAAACTGAGTCAAATCTATATTCACACATTTACATATTTTATCAGTAGACTGCATGACTGCAGTAATATTATGTTAGGATTTCTTAACTTGAAGTTGGAAATGTGAACTCAACAAACCTAGGTAGTAAAAATTCAATTAAGAACCAGAAAAACTGCCAAATATTTCTGGTTCTTAATATTTCTGGACCTAAACTTTTTTATCAACAGGGCTACACAAAAAAGCAAAACAAAAACAAGAAATTTCTATCCTTAGGTATAACTTAAAAATTTAATCATTGTCAAATGTTTAAAAGAAAATCACTATAATCTCTTAATGTTATGTACAGTTTTCAGACATGGACAAAGTTGGAGAAACAACTTTCTATTTTGAAAGCATACTGAAAGTGAATTTAGGATAACAACAAAAAAATGAAGAAAGAAAAGGATAAACAGTAATTGACATGTAACAGGACATAAGACCCTTCCTTATGGCAGAAGCAATGAGAAAACTACTTCTCCATAAGGAGCTCTGGTGGCACAGTGCCTAAGGCATTTGACTGCTAAACATCTTTCTGACATATGCTGCATAAATAACATGTTTGTAAATAATAAAGGGGACAAGACTCTCAACACTAAACCTATTAAAGTATTTCAGACCAATAATCTGATGTAATATAAAAAAAATACAAATGAAATCAAGGAAAAGAAATTTCCCATTCAAATACAGCTAGACACATGTTCATTTCTAATGTGCATAATAAACATATGTACATAGTAAAACCACAACCAAAACACTCAGGCTGTGTTCTTTCTTATACTCAACAGGAAAGCAAACTGGTTATGAATTTATCTCTGGTTCAGAGTCCATGAAAGTACACATTCTGTCCACCCTCTTTCCATATTTTGACTCCTACAGTATGGTACCTAAACTGAGAGTGCAGATGAGCATGATGACCCTGTTACACTGAGAATTTCAGTTACTGAAGAAAATTTGAGTTCTCAGGATAAAGTATTTATTGAAGCAGAAAAGTATACTACTGTATCACATTCTCTACATACTCAGAAGTAAAAGTATTTTCCACTCTACCATAAATTAATTTTGAACAACTCAATGGGAATTATTAGAATAGTTCCGTTAGTCTGAATGTACTATAAATGAATATATATACAACATACACAAGCTTAATGTTTCATACTTTAAATGTTTAGAAACATTAGTCATCATTTCAAATACATTGTTTGTTAGTGTTTAAAAAGCAGTAACATATTAACAATTAAATGCAATGACTTCGGCATTGGTGGTTTAGCATTAGAATTCTTGCCTTCCACGTGGCAGACCCAGGTTCAATTCCTGGCCAATGCCCCTTAGCTGCAGCAACCACGTCTCTGAGCAGAGGTCTGAGTGTTGCTATGATGCTGAACAAGTTTCAGTGGAGCTTCTAGACTAAGACAGACTAGTAAGAAAGACCTGCTGATGTACTTCTGAAAATCAGCAAATGATAATCCTGTGGATCATCATGTCTCAGCCACAACCGATCTCAGGGATGGTGCAGGGTCAGGCACTGTTTCATTCTATTGTGCGGGGTCACCAGGAGTCAGGGGCTCAATGGCAGCTAACAACATAATAATCTTAAGCAATTATATTAACATACCTGAAACCACCAAATAAATATCAAAAGGATAAAAAGCGTAAAGCATAAGATCTTATTGGAAACTACTCACTTAACAAAATATATTTGTTTTCTGGAGTTAGACTCTCTTTTCACAGGCATACTCTGTCATATTTTGCTGAGCTATATATTTCTAATGAATACAAGGTGACATTTCAACTACAACAGCAAACACTTTCAAAATGCCATCTCACTTACTGTGTATTCCAAATTGTCCATCGTCAATAATAATTTCACTTTCTAGAATTAAAAGAAAATAGGAAACCTAGTTAAAATCTCAATGTATACAGAATGAACAACTGAAAACTTACTTACTGTAAGGATTTTTAAAAACATTAAATCTAAAATTTAAAAGCAGCCCAGAGTGAATAAGCATATTTATTGTAGCCCTCAATAAGAATTCTCTTTTAGGGAGGCTAGCAAAGAGTAGTAATTCTCACATACTTTACTAATTGCACACAATATTACAAGGAATAAGAAAAGAAAACTCCTCAAAGAGGGGCTCTAGAGGCACTGGGACGAACTTCCACACCCACCACACTGTACGAGACTACCAGGTTGTTACAATGATAATTTCTTGTTGATTTTTCAAACCAAAGGTCTTGGCACAATTAAAATGCTTATTCTTATGTAGTGCATATTCTGAATTTGTCTAAAATGTAATTCTCCTGAAATCCCAGCTATTCTCTATAACCAGCTGAAAGCTGTACAAACAGTATAAACTTACCTGTATAGACAGCTGTGAGGAACTACCAAAAATGCATAAGTGCTAGCACATCCAATTCTAACAGAAATTTCAACCAAATAGGAAAAGCTGTAAAGCCTCATCCCTCTGGGTAAAACATTAAATCTCTCTTCCCTATTTCCCCTTCTCTGTGTACTTTAAATGTAAGTCTGAAATACTATCAAAATACGTAAGCGTTTCCAATAAAGATCTTCTGGTAGATTTTCCCCAGGTCTTAAATATAAAAGTTACAGTCCCAAAAATCATAAAATGAATTTTTTTTTCAAATGACCAGGAGCAAAATCACCCTACTTGTCACAATAAGAAAATATATTTAACTACAAGATGCTTCAAATGCAAACTGTTTAAATGTTTAATACCTAATAATTTCCAACCTCAGTATAGGACTATCATCATTCTAAAGTATACTATCATAAAAACTCTAAATAGACTATCAATAATGTATCAAAATAATAAAAAAGAAAATCCAATAAAGAGGATGGAATGAGATATTTGTTTCAACGAGATGTGTCCTTGCTACGAGATAAAACAGAAATTCCAGCTGTTTTCAAATCTAAACTAGTAACTAGCAAGCCATTTATTATCTTTAAATTCTTAACCAAGAAGCTAAAAAAAACATTTCACAGCAATGAGTCAATTTACAGATGAACACAAGTAGGTAAGTTAATGTATGTGAAATTAATTTCAAACGCTAATTTTGATATAGAAAAAAATTCAAAAATACTTGTATGAAGAAAAATATCATTTTCAGGCACAAGAAAAGTAAGTATTAAAACAAAAACTATCTGAATATCTCAATTCTACAATAGCCAGCAGGGAAATTAAGCAAATGTGGAAGAAAATATATCTGCTATACCCAAGAAATGTTTGTTTATTCATACAAGTTTATTCAAGTATTTACTGATTAAAGAAAGCAAAAAAGAATAAATAGGATAATTTATTCTGTTACTACTCAAAGTTAAAAATTTAAGAATCTTTGTTTTAGATTAATTCTTTCCTCAAAATTCTCTAAACCTGAGCAAATAATCAAATAAAGCCATGGATGCTCAGTTTCAAGAAAAATGTTATTTTATAAACTTTGGAACCACTCCAAATAAAAACAAGTATTTCATAATGAATTAATCTAATCTAAGAAAATAAAAATAACTAGGCAAGCTTTCTAATAGTTTATAAAGAAAAGCAATTAAAAATTGTTTAGTTCTGAAAGTAAGATCCATGAAATGCTAAGTGAAATTTGTAGCACTGACAATGCATCAACTTTAAACTTTAGAATAAAAACGTACTAAATCCCACTAAGCCATTGTGCAGCATATTAGTAACTTTATGCATATGCCTCAAACAGATGCAGTTAATGCCCATACCTAAAGGGGTTATTGATCGTGGTTGTAGATGAGTCTCCCACTTGTGAACTATGACTTGACATGGACCACCGATAGTCTGCAATTTAAAAGTTAAATGTCTGCAATAATTTCTTTTATCTTATTTTCTACCCATGACTCCATCAGCTGTTTGTGGCCTATGTCTTACATTAAATATGAAACCAAGAGATTCATTTTGTTAATCATCAATATCATATGCCAAAAATCAGGACTGTACCAGCTAATAAAATATGATGAGTGCTGGAAGAAAACGAAGGTGAAATAGTAAACAAAACAAAAAAGATGAACTAGAAACAAAACTGTCTTAAACCCATTCTTTAATCTGTCTACAATACTCAGATTTTTTCAAAGAAACTTACACTTTTAACTAAAATTAATTTTGTCATAAGTTAAAAGTTAATAACAAATATCCTCTAAGTTTGGTATGTTAGCAGTCAAAAAGGCATTACAAATATTGTATTCATCTTCTGTTCTCAAATTGCTCTCCAAGCGTTTGAAAAGTCCAACAATTATACAATAGTAGGGACAGTAGGAGGAAGTACTTCAAGCTCAATTATCCCAAGTTACTCAAGGAATTCAAGGACATAAGTTCTTTATTGTATTTATTTTAGAAAAACCAACCAACCAACCCAATGCCAGTGAGTCAATTCTGACTCATAGCAACCCTATGTAAGAACAATAAATGGAAAGCAGAAAGAACACCGGATTTCCATTATACTAACCACTGTTCTAAAGAGCATAGGAAACCCTAAAAGAAAGAACAGATGGATGGGTAAATCTGAAGAACAAGTTTGATAAAAAGGGTACAAAATCTAGTTTTCTATTATGCCTCGTTGTTGTTGTTGTTGTTATTTGCCATCGAGTCAGACCCGACTCATGGCGAACCTTCCTTCGGTTTCTGAGGCAGTATCACTACGGAAGTAGATTGCTCCATCTTCCTTCCGAGGAGTGGCTGGTGGGTTTGAACCACCAGCCTTTTAGTTAGTAGTCAACTGCCTTAGTCACTATGCTACCAGAGCTCCTCTATTATGCGTTAGAGCTTATGAATTCATACAGGGTGAAAATACTAAATACTGTCTGTTTTTCAAGTTCCCTTACTAAAAGAAGAAAACAGTTTTATGTGTTGTTGGTAACTTCTACAGTAATTTTTAAAAAATTAACTACCACCAAAGATTCCCTGAGTATATCTAAAGGATTCCTAAACTTCCTCTGATTGAAAAAAAAAAAAAAAAACCTAAAATTATGTGCCAAAATAAAAACTTTAAATTTTTAAAAGCAAATCTCAAACTGTACACTCTTAATATTTCATTTTTTTCTTCTTTACATATTCTCTGTAGAAATTTAATAAAGCACAGAGAAGCAATAAGAAAAAACAAAAACTACTGATTATAATACCACTTAAGGATAACCACTATCAATACTTTCATGGGTAGTCGTTGAATCTTTTTCTATACATATATTATATGTACTCTTAAAAAACCTGGAACATTATTGATCATATTTGATACTGCCAAATGATAACAAAGAAGCATGTAACAAACCAGGTACATTATTAAGTAACTGAACACAAGAAAGAATTCTGCTACTTAAAACAATAGGTGCTTTTTTTTTTTTCTTCCAAATTTGCAAGATTTTCAAGTTTGGAAACTAAAATAGAATAAGCCATTCATTCAAGTCATTGACGCTGAGTTACTAAGGAAATGCTCATTTCCTCTAGCGGAATATCTCCTTGCTCTAAGGGTTCCCTTATGAATTGGTAGGGTAGATTTTTTAAGAAATGGAAATGTGAAACTGCTCATCTTCAAATACGATGAATTTCCTTGGAATTACACTGAAAAAGGACATACATTTAATTCTACATCACCCAGATGTTTTTTACTACAACTTTTCACCTGACACATGATTTTGAATTTGTGTTTTAACACAACTTTCTAAGCCCTCAAAAACTACAAATTGATACATTAAAGATAGGAATCTTTCATAGCAATATATAAGCAGCCAGAAAGAACTAATCTCGCCCCTTTCCCCACCCTCCTAATCTCTGATAAATAAATTCTTCTCTATAGTTTGGACCTACATTCTGATAAAAGTTACTAATACAGAGTAGGTAAAAAGGGTACCACCAATACATAAATGTAGGCAGAGACAGAAAAAAAAAGTGGGTAGAGGAAAGAAGAGGGATTTTTGTTTGTTTTAATTCAGGCTCCAGGGAAACTTTACACAGTGTTAACTATAGTACCTATACTTCAAAGTCCCTGCCATCGAGTCAATTCTAACTCATATTGACCCTGTAGGACAGAGTAGAACTGCCACACAGGATTTCCAAGGCTGTAAGTCTTTACAGAATTAGACTGCCTCATCTTTCTCCCATGGAGCGGCTGGTAGGTTTGAACTAGTAACCCTTCAGTTAGCAGTCAAATGCTTTAACCACTATGCCACTAGAGCTCCTGTAGTACCTATACTTAACCATGTAAAAACAGCTGTGTAAATTAAATATTGGTTGGAAATATGTTTTTGTAGCAATTTTAGCAACACTTTAGCAAACGCACCCCTTTGACCAACCTACTACTCATAGCACAGAACAACCAAGCTGCATATAGAGTATTTGTAGAGTGGTCCAAAAGGTCTACTTCAACAGACAACTTAAAACTGTGTTTGCTAACACTCACCCAATCCATGTTGTGCAGTTTTTGAGGGTTAGAAAGTTTTGTGTTTAAAATGCAAATTCACTGCAAATCCATGTTGGTTGGTTATAATATTGGGGGGGAAAAAAAAACAAAAACAACAACAACCAAGTTTTAAGACACTCTGAATATCCAAAATGTTATGATTACTTTATTAAACTAAAGAAGGTAATCAAATTTTCAGGTTCACTGAACTTATTTTTTTAAAAATTAACACTTGAACATTGGGAAATTAAAAATCTCAGTGATGACTCCAAAACACGCAATCCTTTCTGATATGCTAACTGTAAAAACTCATTCTTTGAGATGTGAGAAAGAACAGTTCCATTCTGCAAGAGGCTGCCACAATGTTACATATTTTGGAGCTAAGTAGAAGGAGGATCCTTGGAGGAAAAAAAGTAACAGTATCAGTCCAAATATTCCTTTAACAGTATTGCTAGCGTTCTTTCACAAATTAGCATATAATAAATCAGATGATTGCTAAAATGTTTTAAGCATGCATTCTAGCAAAAATACTTTTAAAAATCCACTTGTTTCCTCAAAAAAAACAAACAAACAAAAATGCTTTCTCAAATACGGATAAAAATAAAATAAATAGGTAACAGTGTTTTTTTTTTTTAAACTACCAAGCAAAATAATCAGCTAGTCATGCAGTATCACTGCTTTCTTATGTCACAAAAAATATGTAAGCGTAAATTTTTAAAATTTTGCTTGTTTCTTTCCACAATTTTGTAAAAGGTAATCTGAGTTCATCTATGATGTCATTTAAGGCCAGACCCAGGGTTCTTAAAATTACTGTTTTTAATAAGACCAATAAAAAGATGATCACCTAGGGATGAGTAAAGCAAAGAAAGCTAGGCTGACAAGACATTGCCAAGAAGGTTCAAATCTCATCTAACATATGACAGTATACAACATTCAGAAGTATTTTACTATCTTAACAATCTACTGTGCAAAATGACAACCTGGGTTATTCTGAAAATGAATAATTATATGCCTATCATTAATGATCACTCTGTATATCTTGTTTCTTTTCTTTAGGGATTAAACAAAAATAAGGGGAGATTAAGAACAATGTAAAGAGTTTGGAATGAATCTAATTGTCAATGTATGTTACCACCTTTAAAAATGAGAAACATAGATATGTTACTGAAAAATAAAGACCTAGTTCCATTGAAATGAAGGAAAATTTCAAAGACAATACAATTAAAAAGTGGTTAACATTTCACTATGAGAAAATATCCCTAATTCCAGGCATAATAAGAGGTAAACATGGATCAAAAATGTTTAAATTACATCTTAATGTAAAAAGTATCTTTAGTGAAGATGTGAAATTAATGGTGTTTCTGCAGACTAATAGCAATGTGTTTATTCAGAGTATGCACTACCTTTGTTTGCTATGTTTATAGTTTATAAGAGAATATTTTGCTTTGTAATCTGTAAAATTATTTAAAAATTCAACATATTAACATCTTATTTTAATTTCAAAAACGTGAGACTGAGTAGTTGTGGAAAATTGAGAAAAAGGATTTCAAGACTCTAACTGCTGAACAAAAAAGAATATGCCAGGTAAAGCAAAGTATTGAAGAGAAAATATGAATGATTAAATTTTATTTATTTACAACAAAATTTTAGCAATGACAGGGACTTAAGAAATCATCAGGTCAAACCCTCATGAGGAAGCTGAAGCGTAAGTCCAAGTCACAAGATTTTTAGCTTAGATTTTTTCCAGGTATAACTGTCTGAGTAGACTACTTTAAAAAAAAAAAAAAATCTTTTTTCTCATACTCTCATATTTACTTTGTTTTGCTATCATTCTTTATAGTCATAAAATACACATTCCAATAATTTACCTTATTTCACAATTTAAGACTCCTTGTATGTTGTATCTATCATTTCACAATGCTCAACTAAGACAAAGTTCCATATTATTTCTATTAAAAAATTATGTTGTATTTTAAAAGTGCCACCAACTTTTAAAAGAAAATAAAAGTCACTTTAAGCTGACATGTGGGGAAAAAAGAGTATGCATGGGATTTTATGTAGCTATTTACTCTATTCCATGAAAAACATACTTACCATGGCAGCCCCTGCATCACACGGTACATGTGTACACGATACAGAGCACCTACTTAAAGAAACACACTCACCAACATATACTGTAAACTTTTGCAAGTATTACAAGGAGGAAAACTTGTTTGTTTTTTAACTGTATGTAGACTTCTTGCCAATTTTTTCAAAAAGGCATTTTGGACTGATTTGCTGCTTTTGGTTACATTTTCAATGAAGAGAAAAAGATACTATAGGTTGGCTTAATTTGACCAGTGTTGACAAAAGTCTTACTTTAGAAAGCTCTGCCCATTAACATTTATCTTGTCTCAACATCCCTTTCCTAGTAAAATTTAGTTGATTTCCTATGTTACAAAGCTAAATTTCATGTAATAGGACCCTTAAATAAGCTTCAGTGTCATGAATGCTACGATCTTTGTATCTATACTCAATTGTTCAATTTATACTGAAGAACTTTGCCATCATACATTATTTCTGTGCCAAATAAATGATAGTTGCCCTTTTTCTAAGTCATTAAAGTGAGACTATTGTCAAGATAAGCCAACACAATGATTAACCATAATGTAATTTAAGTTCAATTACTGAGTATTTACAATATATTCTTGGAAAAGAAACGTAATAGGTGCAAAAGACAGCTGCAGTGGGGTTGTCAGATTCCTTTCTTTTTATTAGAATGGTGGCTAAGAGAATGAATAGGGTTACAGTGGCTGCTTGCATTTTTCACATACAACAAGTGTTCACTGACCCCCAAGGTATATACATTTCCTTAAAAAAGACCTAATCCATTTTTTCTTCCTGGATTCCTGTTCACATGCAGACTAAGTATGCTCAAAGATAAAAATATGAAGGAAAAGAATCTATTCAGCAAATATCTTTAAAATAAGAAGTAACCAACTATTTTTCTTTTCTAAATATGAAAAAAAAAAAAAAAATCCCAATATAAAAAATCATTGTGAGCAAGCAGATTTAATAAATATTGAAAGGCCTTCAGAAAAGATTCCAGACCTTTTTTGAAAAATCTAAAAGGAATCACTTCAATTTTGATAAAAGTTAAACAATGTAGCCACTAAGAGATGGCTACTGTCAAAATTTTAAAAAATAATTACTCAGTTAAAGCTGGCTATATACTCCTCTAATGTGTTTCCACTGAGTAAGGATTTTAAACCAAAACAAAAAGAATAACTCTTACAGCTGGTTAATTAGTTTAACAAAAGTTACTAAAAATACACACCTATAAATTACATTTATTTTTCATTAAAACCAATTTCATGATAAGAATCTTGGACAATATACTTACTATTAGTCTTTTTAAAATTCCGTTGCAGACTGTCTGCTTCTGAAGTGGCTTGCTTTGTGATACTAACATGCTATTAATCTACAGTTCTATTTTTGTTATTTGACCAAACTCATTTTACTTTGTTTTCAAACTTAAGTTAGTTGCTTTTGAAAGAACTGTATTTGCTTTATAAACTGGAAACTAGATAAAGAAAACATACCTTTGGTTCTAAAAAGCACCCTTTGAAGTAGCGATACTGAATTGATACTCCTCTACTGAGTACAATGGTTGCTTTCCATAACATGCTGTGAGGGGAAAAAATAATCAAAAGCAGAAACATCAATATCACACTAAAATGCATAAAGACTTTATAATTCACAAAACCCCTCTAGTTAGGTCTATGAACAATACCATGTATTCATTCCTGCACAAAATTTTATTACAGGTCTACTCTGCACCAGGCACTGGGAAACAGTGATGGCTATGGAATAAAGAACCCCATCTTCAAGGAGCTTGCTGTCTTATGGGAGTACATAGATAAACAAATAACCCAAACAAGATACAACTGCAGATCATAGTAATAAGGGCTATTTGATCTTTCTTCCTTCTTTTTTTTTTTTTTAATTTTATTGTGATTTGAATTGAAGTTTACAGAGCCAATTGGTTTTCCATTTGATCATACACATTTTGTTTCATGACCCTGATCACAATCCCCACAATGTAATAGTGTTCTTCCTACTCCCTCCCTATGATTTCTGTTCTTTTTGACGTTTTTGACAAGACACGAAGTTTGGAGGGAAGGCCTCACTGAAAAAAGCTATCTTCTTCTGGTCCCGTGGCAAAAGAGGTAGCTGTTCATGGAGACAATTAGCGACACATTCCATTTCCTCCACTTCTTCCTACTGCTCCCAGTGAACAGAGACCAACCGTGCCTTAGATGGCCACTTCTCCACCTCTTTCATTTTGTGGTTCTTAACCACTGAATAAGTAGACATTAGAATCACTTGGGGGAGGACTTTTAAAAATATATGCATGCCACTTGGCTATAAACCAAAAGGCCAGCAGTTTGAACCTACCAGCTACTTCGAAGAACAAAGATGGGGGGGGGTGCCTACCTAGGTCTATTATAAATGAATGTTTTGATAAAAGACTGCATAGAAGAATCTGATCAAAAGGGGGAAAATGAAGAACTTCAAATTCTCACATACTCTAGGCTTTCTGGAACCATGGAGGCTGGATGAACCTCTGAAACTATTGCCCTGAGATAATCTTTTAACACCTTAAGCTAAAAATATCCCTTGAACTCATTTTAAAACCAAATAGTTTAGCTCAACTAGTAAGAGAGGTTTGCCTTGAGCACCGTGCTCTTTCAAGATCTATCTACATAGGATCAAACTGACAAGAGAAACTCCAAAGATTAGACAGAAACCTTAGGAGGCAGTGATTTTATGTTAACGAGGGAGGAACAAATCAGAAAAGGATGGTGGGAATGGCTGCACAACTCAAAGAATGTAATCAAGGTTACTGAATTAAAATGTGTAAGAACTGTTGAACTGATGTATGTTTTGTTGTGCATATTCTCAACAAAAATAAATGAAATTTAGAAGAGATCTGCAAGCAAATGTAGCATAGATTAAAAATGAACCAGAACATTGAAACACAGGAGGATAATAGGTTTTTGGGACACAGAGCTCTGCATTTGAGATGCTCCCCAACCTCATTCTGTGTGTCTCTTCTTCATGCTGGTCTGGGTTTGTTATCCTTTACAATAAAATAATCATAGATACACACACAAAAAAAAAAAAAAAAAAAAAAAACAGGAGAAGAAGAAAGAAAGAATGAGCCAGAATTGTTCAGTGACTTCAAGACGGAACATAATCAATGAAACTTAAGAAAAACCAGAAAAGAGCAGTGAGGAGGTTTACCAATGCAGCTGCCTGATGCAAAATCATTCTCTCATCTTCCCCTAAAATACCAGAGAATCTACACAGAGAGCAAATTAAACCACAAGCAGCCCATACTTTCAGCATTACTAAGAAACAATATCATGACTTTCAAAGTAACTGAAAGTAGAAAAGAAAATTCCAACAGCACTCTTGCCACCACAAGCCTGTAGAGACAGTAAAGGGAGGTATAAGAGACTCCATAAAAAGGAGGGGCACACAAAGGACAACGCAGAATGGACTGAAATCCCAAAGAAACACAATTAGGGCACTGGAATGTTGTCCAAAGGCAACCAGACTCAATAATCATCTCCCTCCTTTATCCTGTGAAGTATTTGCCATAGATGAATCCATTATATTTGAATATACATCAGCAATATGTAACATCGGATCCCTCAAAGTTAAGAGTTATCTCATTTTGTTAACATCACTTTGACCAGGTTAGCTGATATAGACTTAAAGACAGGTGACAAAGCAGCTCAAGTTCAGAGCAGACGTGTGTTGTAGGGACAAGTTCAGAAAGACATGAAGTTTCATTTCAAATGAGAATGGTTGGTATGAAAATCCAGGAAGAAACAACAACCTGAAAGAAATAAGCACCTCATCCTTCTGTGAAAAACTAGTAAAGAATATATCCCAATATCTATTATCAATAGAATCTTACTTATAAAAACTTCTAAGAATTGGCTGAGAAAATGTGTCACACTAATGACAGATAGGAAAAAGGGTGTTCTATGTGTTTTTCTTGTTGTTGTTTCTTTCCCTTAGCTTACATTACAATAGTGCTTTACTTTCTGATTTTCCATTGCTCTGCCATCAGTGCTCTATCTGTTCTGAAGGACCCGTTTTGTTTGCTTGCTTGTTTTGTTTAGTCTGTTCTGCAACCAATACTTCTGGTCTAGGTACCCAGTCCAATGACAAGAATCTACAGATGATGTCCTGGCAATGTCAAATTGCTACAAACACTTCTAAATGCCTACTCTTGATATTTTTATTTCTCATATCATGGACTGATTTGGGGGGGGGGGCGGTTTGGATTAGCACTGATCCACAGGCCACATTCTGTTCAACAGAAAATAAATTTGAGTCTAAAGAACCTAATCACCCAGTCTCATGTTTCTCCATAGGTGAAATGGATATATTTGTAGGCTATTTAGATCTCCTGCCTCTTCCTCACCCTGCACACTTTGACAACTAATAGCATGTCCAAATACCAAGTGGGAAAGTATCACCTTTGTTGACATTAGTGGATTGTAACCTAATCCCTTTGCTGTGTAGATGCAGCAACTACGACCTGTTGTTGTTATGTGCCATCAAGTAGTCTCTGACTCACAGAGATCCTTCCTTGGGTTTACAAGGGAGTATCACTACGGAAGGAGATTGCCTATTCTTCCTTCTGAGGAGTGGCTGGTGGGTTTGAACCACCAAGCTTCTGGTTAGCAATCAGGTGCCTTAGGCACTACACCACCAGAGCTCCCAACTACAGCCTAGAGACAGTAATCTGCCCAAGATCATAGTTAGCTACAGAACTGATGACCAATATTTAGTTCCCCTTTCTCCCAGTCCAATGTACCAATATGCCCATGCTAAATTTAGTGCTATATTTAATGTCGGTAGTGAATTCACTCCATTACTTTAGCTAAGATATCTTAGTACATGATGTTGTTAGGAGTTGATTTTGACTAGTAGCAATCCCATGCAACAAGAGTACAACAGATCGATAGAGCTCTCTAGGCTGTAATCTTTAACACAGCAATGAACAGGTCTTTCTCCTGCACGGCAACTGGGAGGGTTCACACCACCAATCTTTCACTTAGCAGCCAAGCACTTAAATGTTGTGCCACCAAGGCTCCTTAGTATGTATTCTATCTATTCTTGTTACTTTCTTTTTTTAATGCATTTTATTCAAATATAATTTATGTACAGTGAAATACAAAAAACTAAAGTGACATCGGTCCATGCATTTTCTTTTTTGCAGTGTTCCCTCCCCTCCCCGCCCACCCCTGGCAACCAACAAGAAAGTTTCTGTCCATATATAAACCTTTCCTTGACCCTCCACAACAACAAACTAATACTGTATTTGTCCTTCTGTGATTGACTTATTTCACTCAGCATAATGTCCTCTAAGTTCATCCATGTTATGTGGTGTTTTGTAGACTCTACATTATTCTTTAGTGCTGCATAGCATTCCATTACGGGTATGTACCATAGTTTGGTCACCCACTCTTCCGCTAAAAATCTTGGAGATAAGTTCCTTGCCAGATATGCAATGATCGGCAAATATGAATTTGTTGCTATCATTTTTGTCATGTGCTTTTTCATGGTGTTAATTTCTTTTTCCATCTAATTTTCTATGCTGAGCTTGTTTTGTTTATGAGTCATGTTATCACTTCCTTCATTGCTATTGTTTCAGTATTTGCTGAATATTTATGCTGGTCCTCTTTTTTATTTTGATGTGAAGGTTTATCATTTCTCTTTGAGGTTACCCTGTGATTGATAGTTTTCTTCCCAAGTTTAGAACAGTCCATTCTACCTTGCAATTGTCTTGACTTCCCTGTCATCTAGAACTTCTGTAATGACACAGATTTTTTTCCCCTCTTTTTGGTTTGTAGTTGTTCTCATTTGTCGGTTGGTGCCTCTGGTTCCCTGTTTACAATCTTACAGGCTTATTTACTTTGGATACTTCCATAGCTGGGTTGGTTTCTGGGTTACATCATCATGTATGTTAATGGTCAGTTGTTGTTGGCTGTTGTTGCTTCTCTGTCCAAAGGGCTCCCTTTAGCATCTCTTGTAAGTTTGCTTTGGTTTTAACAAATTCCCTTAATTTCTGCTTATCTGGAAATGTCCTAATTTCATCATCATATTTGAGGGACAATTTTGCTGGGTACCTAATTCTTGGTTGGAAATTTTTCTCTTTCAGTGTTTTATATATACCATCTGCAGTGAATCGCTTGATGTGGCCCTTCTAGCCATTGTCCTCCATTCTGTGATGTTTTGTAAATCTCATTATCCATGCCTATTTGGGGTGGTGTGGTAGTTAAGGTCAGGTATCAACTTGGCTGGGCAGCTGGTAGTAGTCATTCCCTATAATGACTGGAAATTGACTCTGTGATGGGATTTAGGTTAATTCTGTTGGGGCAACGCAGGTGGAATATATCTTGAGTCCTGCCTTGCTGGAGGGTATAATTCAAATCACCACCCTTGGCTTCCCTGGGGGGTATACCTACGAATCTCCTGGGAAGATTCGCTCTCCTCTTGCTCCAGCTTTGTGTCTTGGCTCATCCTCATCTCACCCCTGGATTTGGGACAGCAGCCATCATCTGATCTGCTGATCAAGGTTCATCAAACTCCCAAGAGTTGGG